AACCATGAGATTTTTATGAGGAAATCTCATCAAAACCTCAAATTAATCAAAATACACTAGCTTTGGACCCAAAAAAATGTCTTCAGCAATTGATTTCAGGGGTTAGATAACAGTAAATCAATCATTGATTTAAAACAATAAAAGACATTTTTCTAATTGATTTCAGGGGTTAAATAACAATGAATCAATCATTGATCCAAAACAAATAAAAGACTATATCTTAAGACATATTTTTCTGTCTTATTTATTTATTTTTAGGGCACTGGGTGCCTTGCCTAAGTCTGTGCGAAAACCAGTCCAGTACCCTGCCAGCCCCTACTTAACTTAGCTGGTCCCAAGTTGACTCAGCCAGGTTTAAATCACTGTAAACATCAAATGCTTCCAAGAAGGAACAACAATTAAATCACTGTTAACATCAAATGCTTCCAAGACGGAACAACAATTAAATCACTGTTAACATCAAATACTTCCAAGAAGGAACAACAAATGGCAAATACAGAAACAATGAACACTAGAACCTGGAAACACTATTTTTATTTTGGAATAATGTGAGGACCTGAGATGAAAGTTCGTAGACGAATGAAACATCAACTTGGTAGATGTATGAAACGTCATGAGAAGAGGGAAACATAAATAAAAACTTAAAAGTTTTATGATACATCTTCAAACCCTAGAAAACACCAAATGTCAGGGATTGAGATTCCAACCTTTTGGGGATTTTGATCCCAGCTTCTTGGGTATTTTGCTACCAACCTTAACGTGTACGATAATCTAGGATGATGTATATTCTTTAAAGTAAGGATTTTATTATTCATAGCAAGAAAACAATGCAACTACATTAAAACTGTAGTTGTGCTGCTAGCTGGCTATAAATAAAGAAAGTTATCAGGTTGTCATGGTCGCTAAAGTTGAGATCGCAATCCTTAACATCAGGAATCGAGATCCCTATCAAAGGGAATCGAGATCCTTGGGAGATCCATTTGGGGAGCGACAGAATCGAGATCCTAGAAAGGATCCTAGAAGTAGGCGATCTTGGTATCAATGGTAAACTTCCATATTTCCTATGATATGTGGAATAGTTTGTTAAAATGAGTGACATAAGGAATTGAACAACTGAAAGGTGATTTTAATGACTCTTATGTGATTTGAGTGTCATTAAAATCCCGTGCAGATATAAGGATGCACAGAATTTTTCTGTTAGAGTGTTTAATCAAGGACACAACAATGTGTGGAGATTAAACTTAATGATCTCAATTCTCAAGTAAAAATCTGACGTCCAATAGAGTGATGAAAACCATTGTATATTTCCTATGCACTTGGAGGTTTTACTTACTGGGAGAATACTCCTAAACCAAGATCACTGATTTGGCTGCATGTGCCTTCTTGATCAACAAGTAACAAAATTTACACCATCATTCATCATAAAGACATAAGCCCTGTGCAGGTAGGGATGCATCTGACTTCATTGTTGTGAAGTGTTTGTTCAAGGACACTAGTCAAGTACAACACAGAAACTTAATGATACTAAGAAAGGAAACGATGTCCAATAGAGAGATGAAGACCATTGTATATTTCCTTAGCACTTGGCGATAAAGGTATTATTGGCCCTGAGGATTCTCTGAGCCCTAGACAAATACTTTAACTTCAAGCCACTTATTGAGCTACAAAAAATTGTCTCAGCAAGCAACTTAGTAAGATTTGTGGGAGGATTATGCCATGAAGAGCAATAAGTCCAGAAAAACCAATTAAATCATGCACATCTATCTCATTTGAAAGACTGTTGCTACCATGAGTTTTGGAAGAATAAGCACATAGGTCATAAATACCCACCAAAAGGCACATGAAGGATGAATGCAAGAAGGCTTGCAGAACAATCTATTCGCAACCATGATATTAGGCACACCGATGGACTTCTAGTTAAAGACGCTCTAGTCACCAGAGTACAATGCCATAAGCATTCATAAAGCTCGTATCATCAAGACAATCGATCATTTGACTTGTCACTCAAATGGTGCAAAGTTTGTAGAACTTGTCACTCCAAGAGTGAAACATTAAGCAGCTTGTTGTGAGGAAAGCAGAAGATAAAAGATCATGGTAAATTATTAGTAGTAATTTCCTTTTTCCGAGCTAACTGAGAAACGCGTGAGTGATGAAGGATCTTGAATGATCAAAGGTATATGCTTGAAAGAGAGACTCGCTATCCCTCATGGATATCACTACTCATATAAAACCGAGATCCTGCCATGATGAAATAGTAGGCAAACTTGTTCTATGTGAAACAATGTGCACCTCTTTCTTGCTAAGTTTTGCCACTGAAACAATTTATGCTATGGACGAAACGTAATTTGTAGCACTAAGGGCACTCAAAGCATGAAGAATCAAGATAATGGACAAGCGGCATGTTGCTAGGGAAGCATAATGCAGAAGGTCTATGAATCCATAATGTATATGTAAGGACATAAATAACACTGAGATATGAAAACAACAAGATAAATTAGTCACACGTGAACTTATCAACTTTTTAAAACTTCCATACATAAATCACACATATGTACACAAACACATACCTGTGTCGGTAAGCATATATACAATTACACAAGCACCTCCCAGGGAACTAGGTCACCCAGACTGGCAGGATTGCCTGGTTCCCATGTACTACATATTTTTATTTTTTACTTTTTTTTCAGTTTATTTATTTTTTTAAGATAACAATTCTCACAATAGAGAACTACTTCGCTTTGCCGATCCAAACTGTTTTCCTGGATCACCGGTTCAACTCGCCAATCCGGGTTTCTAAACATTGACAGATACAAATAAAATGGACTCCTCTCTCCATCCCTTGTTAGCTATACACAGGTATGTATGTATAAGGTCCACGCATGCATTTTTGTATGTACTCATGCACATATGCGTGTGTGTGATTTGTATCTACCTATATATGCATCCACAACTACGCATTTATGTCAGTGGTATCCACTTAAGGTGCCGACAAGATATGTTATTGATAACAATCATAATACTCATGATATTTCCTCAAAAAAATTCATAATACTCATGATAGTTATTATATAATGTAAGTTATATAAATAACAAAAAATATGAATATATATAAAATAATGCAAAATAATATGATTATATTTGATATTGTGATGCCTAAAATAAAAAATATCACACACCTTTTTTTTTTTTAAAACTTTGATTGTGAGAATGGAGCCTAAGGAGTTATGTTGAGGCGTCTTGCCCCCTAAACCCATTCCCCACATATAATTTAAATATTTTATGATACATATCTAAAGGAAAAGGTATATATAAGGTTGCAACCTTAAAATGTAGAATTAAAGATGCACCTCAAAAATCATTGAAAAGGATTGTTTTAATGTTGAAAAACCCTCTAATTGGTCATCTCGACATCGAGATCTATGAAGATGGAAAAAAAAAAGATTGAGTCCTTGAAATAGTGTATCTTGCAACACATTATCTAAGACCGTTCATTTTCAAGATTTTCATATGTTTATGAACTACTTGATTTTGATTATTTTTGGATTTCAAAATTTTATAATTAGATATAAAAATAGATTTTGAGATAATCCTAAGAATTTTTCCATCAAAATTACATGCTATAACAAAATTTGGAGGTGCGCCTTAATTGGATTGTTTCATGTTGCAACCTTATAGAAACCACACCCATATCTAAAACAGTTATATTTCACTGTTTCAAAAGGCAGTCACCATGCGCTACCTCGAGGCAACCAAATCCTGGGGCAGGCACCTCCTAGGCAGCTACTCAACTGTGAGGTGGCCTTGAGCATCCAGGCAGCAGCCTTACAAAAGAACCAAATTTTATATGTTTTAAAATTTTCAGCCACCTCAAACTTGAGGCAGGCACCTATGCGGCCAGGACAAGGTGCCAACTTATGATTCTAAAACAGTGGCTAATATATGATATCTCACTGAGCCATATATAATATATGTACAACATATGGAATTTTTTTTTTTTTAAGGTAAACTATAATGTACAATATATGGATTAATATGTCAGATAGGGGTCTTTGACAAGTCTCATCCAACTGAAACAGTCTACAGTATTTAAGAAACCTAATCAGCTCAACTACACATTATTCATCAAAGGAACATTTTCCTTTGCAATTGACAAGGGAACCTAGTCTGCAGCCAAAATATTTAATTCATGGTTATGATTCTAATATCAACAGTTCATCAATAAATGTTAATCATACCACACATAAAAAATATGCTATGGCTTTAAATAACAACACCCACCCCCCCCCCCCCCCTCCCCCCTCCCCAACAAAGAAAAAAACCACAAGAAATAAATAAATAAACAGAAGGAAAACAAAAAGGATAATTTTACATCAACAATAAGAGAAAAACAAACAACAATAACATCAACGCGTTACATTGATACCAACTACACAAGTACATGAGTTCATATCTTTGGCACCACTTTAGGTTGGCAATGAAGAGAGAAAAGATCTAAGCAATTACTGAGGAATTTTTAGCAGAAATGGTGTCAAATCAATCAAATATGCTAGCATTTGGTTCACAGCTTTGCCATTTGCATGGCACCGTTGTTAATTCTCATTTGCATTAAAAGCATCAATATTGAAGTCAACATAGCTCCCAGTAATATGCACAGTTTATTAATCTGATTTTAGTCTCAAAGCATGGACATTATTTAAATTCAAGAGATATTGCTGCTATTAAGTACGTTCTTGTAGTAAATTACAACATTTCCTTTTTTGAGTTGGCATTATTTGAAGTCTGAACCATTATCTGGGACGGGAACAATCAAACAAAGAACATTTGCACAAGCTGAGTAGCAAAAATACTATCATCTTTAGGCAACTTAACCAAATCCTTTATTTGGAAGCCCTGAACTGTAAAACCATATTCCAAAAATGCAGGAACAATTATTGATGATAGAAATTGGCTGCCCTGAACAGTAAAACCATATTGATGATAGAAATTAAGAGACAAAAGCAGGAACAATTATTCTTTTTTGATAAATAAGGCGGAACAGATTGTAAATGCAACCAGGACAGATAATTTACAAGAGAAATTTCCATCTCATACATTCAGTTGGCATTATTTGAAGTCTGAACCATTATCTGGGACGGGAACAATCAAACAAAGAACATTTACACAAATTGAGTAGCAAAAATACTATCATCTTTGGGCAACTTAACCAAATCCTTCATTTGGCTGCCCTTAACACTAAAACCATATTCCAAAAATGCAATTCAATTTAAGTTATCATTCCCAACTATATATTCATTCTAAACCTAGGACCCTAACAATGCTTAGGAAATCTAGTTGAAATTAAAGCTTAACAAGGACACAAACCTAAGGAAGCATTACAAATGGATAGAGCATATAATATCTCTATCACAACGAATAAGAAGGTAACCAGCATCTAGTTGATCAATCTTGATGGAAGATCTTCAGTTTCAGAACTAGAGCAACCAAATACTTTACCTCACTATCTGCATTATGGATCAATTTTGAGAATAAAAGGTTTCTTCTAGAGACCAAAATTGCACATTTGCACGAATTCCATGTCATAATCCACATACTTTGTCCAGAGGTGTCGAAATTGGTTCATAGCAATGTCAAGCCATGGCTTCATGTTTCCATTAAAGTGAACAACTGCTGCATTCTGAATCTCATCCATGCTTATGCTTGGATTGTAACCAAGCCCAAGTACATGCCATGACTTATCCAATGGCTTTGTGGTGGAGTAAAATGTTATCAGCCCTGGAGGAAGTGTCCCCAACTTCCACAAGGTCCTATTTTCATTCTGCAGCATCAAATAAACTTTGACCTCTAAGTACTCATAAAAAGAACTAAAAAAGTAATGCACAAAATAATGATAATTTCTAAAGGATCTCTCTTTTCTTTTCTTTTTTTGACAAGTACAAGTTCAAAAAGATTAAAGTAGATGACAATGCTTATATCAATTGATATGCAAATCGAACAGAAATGTAACTATAAATGTAACACACACAAGCAACATCCACAAGAACCTATTTTCAAACTGCATCAACAAAGTTTTTCTTATGATCAGAAGCATCGTGAGAGAAACACTACTGATATACAAGGAATTGCTGAAACAATTTATCAAACAGGTTATTCTTGGTAAATTGGATAAAACTTTTGGACAGATCCAGCATAGACTAGAATTCTGTAAATAAAAGGAATTTCGAGAACATAACCCATTACCGATGCAACTAAACAATCTATCCATATTTGTTGCTGCAAGCAGTTTCTTCTACTACCAACACATATTATCTTTACATTAAGCGAATAGTATTGTTTGTATTTTTATTGATAAACAAAGCAGATAACATTCCAATGAACAATCCAGATCTCAACGGTGCAAAATTACATGAAGAACAGACAGAAATCAAATGAACAGTTCAGAGCCCGGCATGTGTTTCCATTTAACGTTAACATGAAGAAGATGGATAGTATACCTTCATTAGTTCAGATCTAACTCATGAAATTTTCAATTCAAAATTGAATAAGAAATTGCCCAATTTCCTAAGAAAACGAGAATAGATGAGACTAGAAATGATCAATTAAAGAGCCATCATACTAGATTCTCCATTAATATTTCTATTGCTACCGCACATCCATTTTATGCAAAATTCAATCCAAAATTGAACACAAATGCAATCAATTTCCTAAGAAAATGAGAAGAGATGAACCGTAATACCAGATTCTGCCAGTAGTGGTATTGCTCAGTGCATTTTTCACTCCTCCAAGCATCAAGATCAAAGAAATTCATCCCATAAGCCCACCCACATGCCTTTGGATTGAACCGCTCCTTAATCAATGGGTGGGAGAAATTCATATACTTATCATACCTATGAAACGACCCAAAACAGGTCTCAACTGCTCCATTAACCTTCCCATCCATATCAATGTTCCAAAGACCAGTCAGATCCTTTTGAACAACCACATCATCGTCCAAAAACAAGATCCTATGAAGCTTAGGGTACATCTCAGGCAAGTAAAACCTCAGATGATTCAGCATTGACAAATACTTCGGGTTCCTAAACTTCATATTCGTTGTGTCCTTTGTGGCATTCTCAAGCTTGTTCTCAAAGTAAAACTTCTGCAAATTTGCTGATTCGAGCTGGCGAAGAACAGGAACATAAGAGGAATTGAGGAACTTGTAGTCTTCGACTGCTTTTACCTCAACATGAGCTCCATGAAGAGGCCTCGTCTTGAACCAGACCTTCATAGCTGCAAGGTTCATCTTATCAGTGACCACATGGAAGACATGCTTTGATGGATCGTTAGCATTCTTAACCGCTGAGTTCACCACAACTGAGGCAGCAATCACATTGTCTGAGAAGATCGCATAGTGATAGAGAGAGGGATCCTCGAGCTCAGGAGGCTCAGGCCTTGCATCTTCATATTTCTCAGGATGAGCAATTCGCTCCTCCATTAACCTCATAGCTAGGCAATGTAGACTCTTAGGGATCGATTTAGCAGCGATCAAGCTTGAGAAGGCCCCCTGCTTCTTCGCTTTGGTTAACTGCTCATTCACTGCAAAAATGGTGTCTTTAAGCTTCTGGATCTTAAGCTGGTTATCAAATGATTCCTTAGCCTCTGAGATCACCTGGCGTGTGAGCTTAATTCTCTCTTTCACCTCCTTCTCAAATTGTCTCAGAATATCTTCTTCAATTGGAGCATCAGAGTCAAGAAGTGATCGATATGATGGCTTAGCCATGAGATCTGTATAATTTCTTCTCAGATCTGCAAAAAACCTAAGCTGCTTAGAGTTCTCAAGCTTGAGCTTGCGAGCAAATGCTTCATATGCAGTAACGAGAGCAACGTGATCATTCGCTTGTCTATGAATCAAATCGAGTCGAGCTTTGAAAGGGTCAGATTTTAGGGCAAGGAAGGTTCGGCTCACTGCTTGAAGTGGCTGATGAGAACTGTAATGTCCGTGAGTTTGCAGAGTAGTAGGAGTATTAGGGTTAGGGTTCGTGGCCAAGAAGAGAGAGGCCCCAGCAAGGAAGAGGAGGGCAAAAGTGGCTGAGACACAGAGGCGGTACGAGAAGCAACACGTACAGCAAGAGGCTGCGCGGCCACTTCGGCGTGAAGGCCCCGCCATTGTTGAGTTCTCCGAGCTCCAAAACTACGCTCCCACTCCCTCTCTATCTTGCAGTGCTACTTAAATCTCTCTCTCATCAAACTCTCCTCGTCATTCTCTCTGAAATGTTCAGCGCGTGAATGTGCGCTTTAGAGTTGCTCGATCTGATCACGCCGCGATAGACGATTGATTAACCACTAATGCTTGTCAAAATGACGAGAAAGTACCTGTGTTTCTGAAATTATCACATATGCTCTCGAATTTCCGTTGTGATAAAAGTTTATATAGAGCCAAGGCATTAAACAATCAAATTAAGCCCTACCTTAAACGTTTTCACTAAAAAAAAATGTTGTTTTGATGCCTAAATATTTTGAATTTGATCATCTCAAGGTGAATAAGTATGAGAAAAAAAAAATAGAATTTTAATTTTAAAATATTGTATCTTATAACATATTTTTGGATCATCAATTTTTTAGATTTTAAAATTTTTTAAATATGTTCAAGTATTATTTTTAAAACTTTAAATTTTATAATTTAACATAAAAAATATATTTTAAAACTCCCACAAATATTTTCAATATTAATACCATATTTCTTTACACGAAAGTACGCTTTACATTGAGTTTTTAGACTTTAGAGCCTCAGCTCTATACGAACCGTACCCTCAAAAAAATATGCAAATGAACGACATATATGCCCATGTTGACCGTAGACTGCGTTTTCTTCAGTTAATATGACCATTTGGCACCCCGAAATACCATTTTCGCCCGAAGCGAGGCCAGCGCTATTATTAAAAAAAAATTTGAAATTTTGAGTATTACCTCATACGCATTTTTTTATTTTTTATTTTTTCTTAAATGCTTTGAATTTGAAACTTAAACTCCAAGAGTTCTTTTACCCCTTTTCTTGGAAAATTTCATAACTTTGGATTTCCAAAATGCAAAGTTTGTTGTGGAGGTAAGCTGGGCTGCCACCGGTCGGGGTTCGGGCCGGGATGCAACAAGCACACAGCCTCACAGACTTGCTGCATTGAGTACTTCATATTTTCAAATTCCAAAGTTCAAATAGCTTCAAATTTTCAAAATCCAAAGACTTGCTGCACTCCACTAGACTCCAAAGAGTACCTCGGATTTTCAAAATTAAACTTCCAATATAAATTCATTATCAAGATTAATTTGATTGAAATAGTTATTTATCAATGATTTAAGTAAGGGAAAAGTTTACATAGAGTCGAGGCTCTAAATAATCAAATTCGAGCCTACTTCAAAAATTTCACTAGAAGAGACTGTTTTGATGCCCAAATATCCTCAAATTGATCATCTAAACATCAAGATGTATAGACATGGGAAAAAAATGGATTTCAAGTTTTTAAAATAATGTATCTATAATGCATTTTTTGACCAGCAATTTTCAAGATTTTAAATTTTTCATAGATATGTCGATTTACACTATTTTTTAAGCTTTAAACTTTATAAATAAAGATGAAATACATTTTAAGGCCATCCACAGAGATTTCCAATGTTGAAACCACATTTCTCAATACTATTTGAGGGGTAGACTCTAATTTGATTGTTTAGAGCCGAGGCTCTATACAAACCGCACCCTTTACGTAAAGAAAAAGTTTGTAGAAGATTGAGGCCTTAAACAATCAAGTTAAGCCACACCCCAAAAAAATCACTAAAAGAGATTATTTTGATGTCCAAAAACCCTCAAATCAATCATCTTGACCTCGAGATCTATAAATATGAAAAAAAATAGTCAAGTGTGGAAAATAATGCATCTTGTAATGCATTATCTAGGCTGTCAATTTTCAATATTTTCAAGTATGTATAGATTTGTTCGATCTACGATTTTTTTTAATCCTTAAATGCTATAACTAGAGATAAAACTAGCCTCAACTTTATACAAACCAAACCCATTAGATAAATTTAAACAAACATTACCTGCAACGAATATGACAAACCCCTTAGCCATGTTCTACTCTATATTTATAAGAAAGTTTACACTCCCTTATTTCTTTATATACAATTTTTGGGGCACTTTGGTGGTGGCCTTGCCTAATTTAGTTGAGTCTAGCCCAACCCCAAATCATAGAAAATATCAATGACGCCTAATCTCACGCTTAAGTCCTAAACACAATCTCACGCTTAGAGCTTACAAATTATTGGAATAATGCACACATGCCATTGAATTTCAAGAGAAGAACACAAATAGGTGAGTAAAGGTAGAAAGAGATGGCAGCTCTGCCAATCAATTTCAAGAAAAGAAAGCTTAGTTTGGGTGTGCTTGGGAGATTAGCAGTTGATGTTAGCAATGCCATATCTTAATTCTGATTCGCACAATTCAAAGAAGTGCAACATCATAAATCCTATTTGCATTTGCAGAATTCAAAGAAGAACTTAATTTAGAGATTTGCTTAATGCTAGGTGGTCAAGGTAGCGGAGCGCCATAACGTGATTTTCGGTTTCATTCTTACATAGGAGGACCTTCTTCATTGATTTAGCCCATAAAACAAAAAATTAATTTGGTATTTTGTGGACTTATCTACTATATCATAGTCACATCTCAACAAGTCTCCATCAGCCGTCCATTTTGTCTTTCTGCTTTCTAATTCTACAATCAGCCTTCTACATTTGAAAGCTACTATCTTTTTGCTTTCTAATTCCCCAATGAGCCTTCTGCATTTGAAAGCTACTGATTTTACTATGTTACTTCATGATTTGACACAACAGTCTTATTATTTGGTCATGATATGTTATTTTTATTTTTATTTTTAATTACTGAAAATCGAACAAGTGGCCTTCTATAGTTACCCCAAAAAACGCAAAAAACTACTCAACACCACTTACAGTGTACTTCTTGGTCCAATTTATATTACCTTTATATGAAGTTTTTATAAGAACTAGGCTTCATGCAAACAAAATAAAGCCTCATATCAAATTCTCAACTGGAGGACACTTTCGGCAATGGAAATTTTTATAATGGCTCTCTAATAAGTTTCCAACATCAACAATAAATCTTGAAACTCAAAAGATGCACAAATCTCATCCTTGAATGCTTATTTTCAAGGAGAAATGGACGGCTTAGATAATTTGTTATAATATACAATATTTTTAGAACTTGAAATCCTAATTTTTTTTCACAACCACAATGGTCAAGCTGAGATGGTCAATGTAGATTTTCCCGGTGCTTGAATTACAATTTTCGGTCAGTTATGAGGTGAGGCTTTCACTTATTTTATAAAGCTGCAGCCCTATCAAACCATTACCTAAAAACGTTTTGGAACGATGTACGTAACGGACATGGATGCTTTCGGTATTTAAAGAAGCTATGGGTATGAAATTCGTCATTCAAATTAAAGTAATGCGGTGCAATATGTGAGGCCCAAGTGTCGGTGCCCGATCAAGCTGCATTTAATACACGCCCACACCTTTTTAACTATGGGTGCCGTTTGTATAGAGCTGAGGCTTTAAACAATCAAAGTAAAGCGCTTCAAATAGTGTAGTGGAATATGGTTTTTAATATTGAAAATCATTGTGGTGGTCTTAAAATATATTTTTATTTGTAATTATAAATTTAAAGCTTCAAAAATAGTTTAGATCAAACATATTTATGAAAATCTTAAAAATTGACGGTCTAAAATGTGTTAGATGCACTATTTTTAAAACTTAAAATCCATTTGTTTCTCATATGTATGCATCTTGATGTGGAGATGATTCGAGGATATTTGGCCATTGAAACAACCTCGTTTAGTTAAATTTTTGAGGTGGGTACTAATTTGATTGTTTAGAGACTAGACTCTATATAAAAATGCATGATAGTAAGTGTCATCACCGCCCAATCAATCAATGCACGGTGATGGAGGAGAGAGGTCGCATGGTTATAGTGATGAAAATAGTAGGGCAGGGAGGAATTAGATGAGGCACCGAAGGTGATCTCATAACGAAATTTTTGTATTTATTGAAAATAGAAGAGGACATACCGATTGAAACGCGATGGAGAAAGTTGGGAAAGGGATGTAGTGGTGGACCATTTGAAAGAGGCTTACATAATTTAAAGAATATTTTATTTTGAAACTTTGTCGGCAAAGATGGCTAGCACTTTAGACTCTCATGTGCATGAAGAAAAATAAATAAAGAACGCAGTTTTTTTGGAATGGTAGCAGCAGATAAGGCCCCTAGCCCTAGCAATGTTGTCATATTGGTTTTAGAGTCTTCTTCGGTGAAGAAAACGAAGAAATTCGGTCCTTCGGCCGATTTCTAGGAAGATTTTGGATTGTTTTAAAATTTAATATAAATAAATTAGATATTTATATATAAAAATAAAAAATATTAATGTTAAAAAATAAAAATAAAAATTATATTTTTATATAGATGTTTGCTTCAGCCAAAGCTTTGGCCGAATCAGGGCCGAAGTGGCCCGAAGCTAACTGAAGCAACAACACCAGGCTTTGCTTCACTTCGGTCTAAGCCAAAAATTCAAAAAATTCGATTGAAGCTAAGGGAATCATAATATTGCCAGATGGGTTTCTTTTATTATTTTTTCAACGGTCTTAGGATTAGGAAATATGATAGAATTTTAATGGTGGCGGTATATTTTGAAGGGAAGTCATTAGCAAAAATTTTAATTCAACACATATAAACCAAATCCCTAAAAAATCAGAGATGGAGAATTTGAATGATATCATCCTATAAGCTTTCTCACTAGTCTCTACAAAATTGCAGCGAAGATCTTAGCTACTAGACTAGAGAAAGTGCCACAAATGTAGATAAGCGAAACCCAATCAACATTCATTTAAGAAAGGCTCATTACGTATCGTATTCTTATTGTACAACCCAATCAACATTCATTTAAGAAAGGCTCATTACGTATCGTATTCTTATTGTACAAGAGTGTGTAAACTCAATAAAGCTTGACAATATAGCAGAAGTGTTGTGTAAATTGGAAATTTCTTAGTCATAGAATTTATATGCCCAAAATATTAAGTCTTCAAATAACTCCCACATAGGATTTTGAGTGAGGAAGTAAATGGATATTTTACTACGGAAGGAGTAGCAAATATTTTGAGATAATATAAAAACCTCAGTTTAATTGAACTTCTATAAATACCCCCAAGCGTCTTTTTTCCCCTTTTTTAAAGTTGCAAACCCTTGTTTCGGCAGTCTCTCTCGTGCTCTCTAGCTCTGTGCAGTAGGCTCTCTCTGCAAGGCTCGGTTTTCCATAGATGTATATCGC